TGCGTCTGTCACTTGAATGGATCCGCTGAGACAACAGCAGACTTGCTGATTACACAGGGGGCGAATGATAAATGTGCCCAGCCAGTTGGGCGTTGCGCCTAGAACAATCATGAGTGGAAGAATATTATTATCTCAAGCTAATCGACTCACCATAGTTCAGGCCGGTAATCGTACATAAAATAATCAAGTTGGCAAAGAAGTTAACCATTTTTATCAACGCTTTTCAACGAGAAACACTTCTCTGAATGTGTCGTTTAGAAATAATTTTGTGTGCGTTAGTTAAGATTTTATATAGCCTATTTGAGAAGTAACTCGATATACGTAATTCCTCGTGCGAAAAGCAGAAGGATCAATTCTCTTGACTTATATCTTTCAGCGTATTGGAAGAAACAATATTGATGAATCGATAGTGCTATTGACCGTCGTTTAGAAATAATTTTGTGTGCGTTAGTTAAGAGTTTATATAGCCTATTTGAGAAGTAACTCGATATACGAAATTCCTCGTGCCAAAAACAGAAGGATCAATTCTCTTTACTTATGTCTTTCTGCGTATTAAAAGAAATAATATTGGATTAGAGGGGGAAGGAAAAAGCGCTCCATTAGACAACCAAGTGCGAACTTTCAAGCAGAATATTATTACGTATCTATTATCCATTGTGATACTTTTCAAAGTTTCCAGTAAGATTCTTGCTTGATTGCTTTATAAGAATCGATGACTAGGGCATAGAGTACGTCGGGGTAATTAGAGACACTCTTTGAAATTTTCATTCCTTTTTTGCTATTGCTTGCCCGTTTTTCCGATCAAAAATGGCCAAGAAATAGCAAAAAGAGAACGAAAATTTCAAAGAGTGTCTCTAATTACGCCGAATTACTCTATGTGTCATGAAACATTGAAAAATCATTCTAAAATTGCTCTAGCATAAAGTACTAAAAAACGGCCTAAAAATGGTCCGTTAACTGACCGTTAACGACCCGTTTACGGTTTGAAGCATCTAATATGTATTTGTCATGAGACATTCAAAAATCATTCTAAAATTCCTCCAACTTAAAGTACAGAAAAACGGCCTAAAAACGGTCCGTTAACTGATCGTTAATGGCGAATTTCTTTGTGAATAATAAATGGTCTGGAAACGTTCAGCAGACGGTGACCGTTAACTGTCCGTTTTCTGACTTTAGACATTTTCAGACGATTTTTATCGTCAAGTTATCGTTCTTTGTTCGATAAGAATAAGGAATAGTAACATTCTCGCACGGTGTGTAAGGAAGAATATTCCTTTCTATCATTTGTTTCCAGAGTCTGTTAATAAATCTCAAAAGGTGCATATTCTACTTTTCTTTGTATCCAAACGATTATCAATCAATAAACTAACAAATAAAGACGAGAAAGGAAACATTTGTTGTAAACTATTATATTTGAAAGGGAAACATTTTGACTTTTCTCCCTACCATCGAAAGATAGATATGCCCCATTATCGTTGACTGATAGAGAAAAACACCATTGATAAAGTGGAATCACGAAAAAGAACCTGATACGGAAAAAGAGTCAAAAAATAACCTATGAAAGTCAAGGCACACATAAAGCGAAGGAAAAAAGGCTGTTTAGCGAGAAATAAAACGTCAAGGAGCGCGAGAGAACGGCCTGGCCAAACGTGACGTAATTTCCTTTTTTGATTTTGTGCCTTATTTCTCGGTAACGGTAAGAGATACTGCAATGCAATTTTCATCGTATATGTAATTTATGAGGCTCTTTCAGTCCTGGAAGTTTGAGCTTAATCGACACAACGGCTTGAAAGTTGTAGCAGAAATAGAGGTCGTGACACTATTGCTCCTAAATCTTTGACAAATTCTCCAAAGTGAGGCATTGTTTCTTGAGCCCAATTCTAACAATTCTTCTGAATTCCAGGAATAATAGCTATGTTTTTAACTTTATATTTTGTAATTGTAATCGTGAATCCCTGCAACATTAAAATATGGACAAGGAAATATGTTCTTTTTATCACTCCCATACATTATGAGAACTTCACAGTTTATGGTTTATTATTTTTGATTCTGTTGACTCAAATGGCTATTGCTATAAATGAATACATATTTTCGAATTTCACGTGATGATATAAAATTAAAATAAAGTCTAGAAGCATGATTAACATAGGTTGCAAGACGAGAAATTGTGGCAAATAAATTTTCTTGTGCCGAACGTAGTAAAATCTCTTTCTACATACGTTGTAATGTTTGAATAGATTATTTGTACCGCATATGGTGCGCTGAATAAAGTTGCAACACATATCTGTAATAGTAACATTGTCGTCAATTGATTTTCAATACGTCGACGAATACTAATCCCGTGTTGGACGGTGATAGCTCTTACAACGAGAGCAGTTCGTTGGTGAAGATTCTTATATGTTCTAACACTAAATAAACTCATAGATCAGTAAAACCGTAAATTGAATGAAACTTAAAAAATAAGACGCATAAAATGAAAAAGCTGTTGATCGTGACCCACATTTGTTATTCATATTATCATAATAAATTAAAGCGGGTGCTTGTGTTACCATACCGGAAATAATTGTAATAAAAATTGCTAACCGTGTGTTTTTGATTGTCGACTATTCCCGATATCTCGCTTTACGACAAAAGCACAACCAACGATTGACAGCTGCTAAACGAATAAATGTATTTGCTGATAATGCCAATTGTATTGCAAAACAAAATTTTAATTTACAATAACCGCTTGATGTCATTGCTGGATCAATGTTAAAAGCAGTTAATATTCGTGGTACTAATGTATTGAATAAATATCGTAAATCGTAGATAGATGCACAAAGTAAAAACATTGCACACGAATTTGATCGTAATGATTTTTTTGATGGAAATATATAAATGTTTAATAATGAACCACCTGTACCAGCTACAAATACAAACAATTCAACGTAGATAGTTAATTAGCGAGATATTTCATTTAATAAAGTTGTGAACGCCGACATGATTCTGTGTGAATTATTTTATGTTTGCTTCCTTTTATATCCTTAAATTATATTTGTCTTTTAAAAATTGAAATTTATTGTTCTATAATGAAGTTAACAATAAGAAATACATATAAACAAGTAACGCTCATCTTCGATTCACTAACCCTTGACTGAAAGATTCTGGTGCTAACGAACCCGACATGTACGGTGCACGAAATTCGCATCTTACAGAAAATGAATTTTGTTGTCTTCGGTATGG